GCCTTGTTCTTTGCCAATTCCTTCAATGCACCTTGGACTTCCTCCTTCAGTATCATTGGCTCTTGATCATATGCTACCTCTTGAAATGGTTGAACATCAATTCCTTTTGATACAGTGACTCTGTGTATTCCTTCCATCTTCTTTTGATGCTTTCTGCATCATTCAATAATTTGCCCAGAAAGTTACCTTATAAAGCTAAAATGTAACTCTTTTCATCTTTTTGTATATGCTGTTAAGAATCCTTACCATATATTATCTCACTGGAAGCCTGGTGTGACACTGTAGGCTAAGTACTAGACCACTAATTTCAAGGTCACCAGTTCAAAGCCACCAGCCATTCTTCAGAAACCCTATAAATAGTGGCTAAGTATGACTTGGATCGATGGCACTTAATATCAGCAACAGAGTAAAAAAGTTTGCTCTTTTTGTGTATTCTTTGCCTTCTAGTTGAAAACAAACTGCCTCCACCAGAAAATCTAGAAGTAAGTACTAGAAACCAAGTCTCTGTTCTTCAGTGGAATTACACATATGAAAATGTGACCTTTCAAGTTCAGAGTCTCCGGTAAGTTCTTTTGCATGTTTTCTTTTGCCCAGTTTACATGACTATGCTTCTTTTTATTGTACTTCAGCAACTTGTAGCTCCTTACCCAGAGTCTCAAGTGCTGGATTGAGAGATTGCCAGAGATGGGGATATGATACAGTATTGAAAACCAAGTAGACTTCATTTAGTCTCAACTCTGCCAGAAACGAGCTCTGGCTGATGCTGAGCTAATCACTTGACCAATATTCTTAGGACATCTAGTGTACTTTACCGGCTCTGTAAAAAGGCGGCATTCTTGAGCCTAGTCTCTTCTTCAGACCTCTTTTCTCCCATGAGTCCCTGACATGATCTTATTCTATTCACTCAGGCTTGTGCAATTCAAAAAGTTAGCCTTCCCATTTTCTTTCTTTCTTTTTTATTTATTTTTGAGGAAGGTGGGACATCTGTTTTTCTGTTGTTGTTGTTTTTAAGTGTTTTATGAATACTCACCTACCTCTACCATTGTACTGTAGACTTCTTAAGGGTTTATTTTATGTACTTCTGTAACCATAACCCCTAACAGGGTATCTGACATATTGTGGGTACTCTTAAAACATTTATTGAATTGATATGCTAAAATTTTATAAAAACATTTTTGCCTTAAAGTGACTTTTTGAAAATGACTGAGAACCATTCGGATAAATGGGAACAAATACCAGGCTGTGAAAATGTCAAAACTACCCAGTGTGTCTTTTCTCGAGACACTTTCCAAAATGGAATTTACTTTCTCCGTGTCCAAGCATCTAAAGGAAATAACACATCTCGTTGGTCTAAAGAGAAAAAATTTGATACTGAAAGTCAAGGTAAGCAAATAGTTACATTTGATTTTTATATTCAAATTTGTGCAGGTGTTTCTAGTCTAAGTTGAACATTGTGTCTTGACTTTTTTTTTTTTTCCAGCTATTATATTTCCTCCAGTCATTAGTATGAAATCCATTAATGATTCCCTGTATGTCTATATTGGTGCTCCTAAAGAAACTGGAAATAAGTTTGTGAACCAGCATTATCTGTTTATTTATGAATTTACTTTTTGGAAGAACACTTCAGATGCTGAGGTAAAAAGATGGCATTGTATAATTCTGTGATTTAGAGTTATGATTTGTATAAGCAAAGGTAAAAGTTATAATTTTCAGAAGTTTTTCAGACTATGTCATTAACTCAGATATTTATAATGAAGGCTGTTAGCACAGGCAGCGGCTAACATATGATGCATTCCAGTGATGATGAGCTACCATACAACCATTTCTTTTTAAGGTCTGATCATTGATAATGTATGCTACCTGCAGTGTGGCAGTATGTGAAGAGCTGAGATTACCATTCTCAGTTGTTCACTCACATATGTTCAGTGTTATGGTTTATAAAGATGCTGGTAATAAAAGATAATGGTAATGAACACTTTAGAAAATGAGGAATGCTACTTAAGTCAGAACCAATTTACGTTAGAGTCCAGAATGGAGCCCAACTGTGAGTCAGGAAACTGTCATATTTTTCATGTTTGCATGATGGAGCTATGGATTAACAGCATCCAGACCCATTAAAATGCAGTTTTCTTAGCCCTATCACTATGGTGACCCAAAAGAATGTAGAAATCATTGGACAATATCATTAGCATCGCATGCAAGTAAAATTTTACTAAAGGTAATTACAAAAATGGCTGCAGCCAGACATTGACAGAGAACTTCCAGAGGTTGAAGCCAGATTCAGAAGAGGACATTCAACGAGGGATATTATTGCTGACATACATGGATCTTGGCTGAAAATAGAGAATACCAGAAAGACGTTTACATGTACTTTATTGATTATACAAAGGCTTTCAATTGTGTGGATCATAACAAGCTATGGACAACATTGCAAAGAATGAGTATCCTGGAACACTTAATTGTGCTCATGAGAAACCTGTCCTGTATGTAGATCAAGAGGCAGTTGTTCAAACAGAACACTGAATGGTTTAAAATTAGGAATGATATGTGCCAGGGTTGTATTCTTTCAGTCTGTGTGCTGAACAAATAATCCAAGAAGCCAGATTATATTAAGAAAAACATGGCCTCAGAACTGGGGGAAGACTCATTAAAATCTGCATTGTGCAGATGATACAACATTGCTTACTAAAAGGAAAGAGGACTTAAAATACTTACTGATGAAGATCAAATACTACAGCCTTCAAAATAGGTTGCAACTCAATGTAAAGAAAACAAAAATACTCACCACTGGACCAATGAAGAAAATCTATATCAATGAAAAAAAGATTGAAGTGTCAAAGATTTCATTTTGCTTGGACTACCATCAGTGCTCATGGAAGCAGCAGGCAAGAAATCAGATGACAGATTGTATTAGGCAAATCTGCAACACAATACCTCTTTAAAGTGTTAAAGAGCAAAGATGTCAGCTTGAGAACTAAGTTATGCCTGGAGAACTCAGGAATTTACATTTTTAACATGATTTTCAGGTGTTCATCTAAACTAGAGTTTTCAGTGTCAGCACTATTGACATTTGGATCACATAATTCTTTAATTTTTGTCCTGGACATTGGAGGCAGCAATCCTGGCCTCAATTATGACAAATGTTCCTTGGTGAGTGAAATTTTCTCCAATTGAGAACCACTGATTTTAATCATACATTCTCTGCTGAAGTGATATCACCTCCAACCGGCAAAACTTGGTTCTTAAGGAACAAAAGAAACAGGTATTCCAGTAATTTGCGTCCCTCCACAGTCCTGGTGTGGTGCTGTTGAATAAGCACTGAACTGCTAACCACGAAGTTGGTGGTTCAGACCTTCCAGGTGCTGCTCAAAAACCCTATACAGAGTTGCTACAAGTCGGAACCGACTCAACAGCACTTAACAGCAACAACAATACAGCTCAGCTCTACAAAACAAAATCATAGTCTTTAGTATTCAATTTCATGGTGGAGAACAATTAGAGGGAAAAAAATGCCTAAACAGACTCCTTAAACCAAAGCAAACCCATTGCCATTGAGTTGACTCCAACTCATCGTTGTTGTTGTCAGGTGCCATCGAGTCGGTACCGACTCATAGCGACCCTATGCATAACAGAATGAAACGCTGCCAGGACCTGGGCCAACCTCACAATTGTTGCCACGCTTGATGCTGCCACTTTGCCAATCCATCTTGCTGAAGGTCTTTCTTTTTTTCTCTGACCCTCCACCTTACCAAACATGATATCCTTCTCCAGTGACTGGGTCCCTCCAACTCAAAGCAACCCTATAGGGTTTCTGAGGCTGTAAATCTTTACAGAAGCAGAAAGCCTCATCTTTATTCTGCAAAGCTGCTGGTAGGTTTAAACTACTGTGGTTAGCAATCCAGGTATTTATCCTACAATACCACCAGAGTTCACTAAAATGGCCCCTTTGTTGTTGATGTTAAATGCCACCAAGTCAGTTCCAATTCATAGCAACCCTGTATAGGGTTTCTGAGGAGCAGCTTTTGAATTTGATCCACTGTTCTTACAGTTAAAACTGACCCTGCAGACCAGTGCTTATCCTACAGCACCTCACCAGGACTCCAAAAAAGCCCCTTATTGGAAAAGAAATTTTAAAAAGGGTTGAGAAACGCCATCTGAACACTAAAATTAAAAAAAAACAAAACACTGACAGATAATAGAAATATCAGATATTTATATGGTTCCAAGATTGCTTTTCCCTGTAGAATGACAAAATCAACCTTTTAAACTCCTGTGCAGTTAGGTTGATGAATTCTGTAACTTAATTTTCTATTGGAAAATCTCAGTAAATGCCAATAACTTGGCTGGCTGCACCGTCACTAGCAGAGTACACTATCACCATAGCATAATCCAGTCCATTTAGAATCATGGTCAGTTCTCAGTTGTCTGTAGATCAGACCAACCTGAATTTATGTCTGAAGCTATCAAATTGTGTTGACATTAGATGGATCTTGGCTGAAAGTAGAGAACACCAAAAAGATGTTTACTTTTGCTCTGTTGACTATGCAAAGGCCTTTGAATGTGTGAATCATGACAAGCTGTAGACAACATTGTGGAGAACAGGTATCCTGAACACTTAATTGTACTTATGAGGAACCTGTACATAGACCAAGAGGCAGTTGTTTGAAAGAACAAGGGAACACTGAATGGTTTGAAATGAGGAAAGGTGTGCAACCGGGTTGTATTCTTTCACTATTTTTATTCAGTCTCTGTGCTGAACAAATAATTTGAGAAGTTGAAATATATGATAAAGAACGTGACCTCATGATTGAAGAAAGACTCCTTAATAACCTGTGCTATGCAGATAATACAACCTTGCTTGCTAAAAGGGTAGAGGATTTAAAATAATTACTGATGAAGATCACAGACCATAGCCTTCTGTATGGGTTGCACCTCAATTTAAAAAAAACAAAAATGCTCACCACTGGACCAGTAAATAACATCATGATAAATGGAGAAAAGATTGATGTTGTCAAAGACTTCATTTGCTCAGATCAGTCATTAACACTCCTGAAATCAGCAGTCAAGAAATCAAATGATATATTGCATTAGACAAATCTGCAACACAAAATGTCTTTAAAATGTTCATGAGCAAAGATGTCATTTTGAGAACTGAGGTACACCTGACCCAAGCCATGGTATTTTCAATAACCTCATGTGAATGTAAAAGTTGGATAATGAATAAATAAGACCATAGAAGAATTGATGCATTTGAGTCATGGTGTTTGAGAATATTGAAAGTACCACAGGCTGCCAAAAGAACAAACAGATGTGTGTTGGATGAAGTATAGCCAGAATGAGCCTTGGAAGCCAGGATGGCCAGACTTCGTCTTTCATACTTCGGACATATTATCAAAAGCGACCAGTCCATGGAGAAGGACATCATCTTTGGTAAAATGGAAGGTCAGTTGAAAAGAGGAAGACCCCCAATGAGATAGATTGGCAATCTGGCAGCTTCAATAGGCCCAAGTGTAGCAACAATTGTGAGGTTGGCCCAGGACCAGGCAGTGTTTCATTCTGTTGTACATAAGGTTGCTATGAGTCGGTACTGACTCAAAGGTACCTAACAAGTGCATAGCCTATAAGCCAAGCAGAACTACTGTGAGCCACATCTTCAATGAGAGCTGCCCTAGATAAGGCATAAACTCATGAGTGCAAAAGAAATTATTTTTGAGCTATTGAATGTTGGGAGAGTTTTGTCATACAGTGTTATTGTGACAGTAGCTGACTAAAACAGACTCACAAAAAATTACATTGCCATCAAGTCAGTTCCCACTCACAGCGACACTATGAGTAGAACTGCCCCATACGGTTTCCAAGACTTTAATCTTTATGAAAGCTGATTGCCACAACTTTATCCCAGAGAGCAGTGGTAGGCACCAACCACTAACCTTTCAGTTAGTGGCCAAGTTTTTAACCACTGCCTCACCAGGGCTCGGTACATAAAGGAGCAATAAATATCCACATTTTACAGATCAGAAAATGAGACACTGCCTAAGGTCACGTAGGATCACAGTGATTCTGTAGGATAGCACTGAACTGAGAAGCACAGTCTGTGTTTGAGCCCACCAGTCACCCGAGGAAGAAAGATGAGCCTTTCTCCTACCACAAAGATTGGTGGTGGTGGTTATGTGCCATCGAGTAGGTTCTGACTCATAGCAACCCTATGTAGGGTTTGCAAGGCTGTAAATCGTTATGGGAGCAGAAAGCCTCATCTTTCTCCCAAGGAGCAACGGTTGATTTAAACTGCTGACCTTGTAGCTAGCAGCCCAGCTCATAATCCACAATGCTAACCATTCTGCCACTAACCAGAGACAATTAAAGCAAATCAGCATGTACATATAAAATAAGTTAGAGTTGTCTTAGGAATATACCATATGCTTTTTGGCAGCAGCATTTTTAGCTTCTGGATTTGGTTATAATGTGTTGTGCAAAGCAAATTTGTATTTTTAAATGCATACCAGCTAAGTGTTTAAAACAGACCAATCTTATATTGAATATTTAAAGAATCCAGAAAATTGATATACCATATCTGTTTATTCCTGAAGTGACTAAATGTTATCAATGATTTGATTCTTTTTATAGTTTGAAATCCTACAGAAAAAAAATGATTTTATTATTGATAATGTGCAACCACTGACCGTATATTGCATCAAAGCCAGAGCGCTCATCCAGGATGACAGATGGAATAGAAGCAGTGCTTTTAGTGATGTGGTGTGTGAGAAAACAAAATCAGGTCAGATTCTTTCATTATCTTAGTTTTAAAAACTAACTGGACTTTATTAATACTTGGGAGTTGTAAAATATTTCTTGACTACAAATATTTGTCGTTTTCTTCATATCCTACATTAATCAAAATTTAAACCTTCAAGCTAAAATTGCCTTTCAGTTTCAAATATATTTTAATACTCAATTCATGTTTTTGCTATTTCATCCAATAGCCACATAGTTAATTTCCTTTAATGATTGACTGCTCATTAGTATCTAATAAGATCTAAGTTTTCTGTTTTATGCATTGCTTTTAGTATATTTATGCAGAAATCATTTAATTCGTTCATTAAAAATTTTTTATATGAGAATAGTATTTTTTTAATGATTTGTAGATGTCAATACAACACACAACAGGCCACTCTAAATATTAAGTGCTGTTGAATTCTGCGATATGGTATGCTTCTTCTTGTTGTTAAGTGCTGTCATTTCTGAGTTGGTTTTGACTCATAACGATCCTGTATACGATTTCCAAGGAGCAGCTTATGAGTTTGAACCGCCAACCTTGTAGTTCAAACAGACCTTATGGTCTCATGCTTATCCTACAGTGTTGTGCTACCACAAATGTTTTGAATGATACTATCTAATAGATTTTATATTTCTTTTCACATGACTTTTCTTTTACACAAGGTGACAGTACTAATAAAGCATTTGTGGGTCAAACTTGTATTTATACTAAGCATCATTTATCATTTTCAGGTAATGCACCCATAGCTTGGATTATAGCTGGAATTTTCACTGTGTTATTTTCCATTCCACTTGTGGTTTATGGGATGAGAGGTCTTTGGAGATGTATCAATTATGTATTCTTTCCAGCATGTAAACCTCCTCCTAATATACAAGAGGTAAGTTATTTTTGTTAAGAGCTGGGTTTTTCTTACTGTGAACAGGAAATATGGCTGATTTCAATATAGTTCATATGTTTTCTTGGTATCCAAAAACTAATAGACTGATTTGGATATGTTCTTCAAAATTCAGTTAACTTTACAGTCAGTCATTCAATGTAAGAACACAACATGGAATACTAAGGCTTGTCTTTAATCTGACACTTTTCTGGGAATTTGGTGTGGCATCACTCAAGTCATCATGATTCTTAATATAGCAAATTGATTAAAATGTCATCAGGTAGAAACTGTGTTCTGTAGATGAAACACAGAAACTGAAATAACTAAAAATACCAAGTTTCCTATCATAGTACCTCAGTGGGTTTTTTTGTCTCTTACCCCTCTGAGGTTAGCCTATTTAATGAAAACTAAATGAGGAAGGCCTAAGCATACAATCTAGCTTTGACTGCCTGTCTCGTGACTTATTTTGCAGACCCAGTAGTTACAATTATATCTTTGTAGTTGGAGACACCTGATGCTGAATTGTTGATAAGCTATAGTCTGTACTTATCTTCTGTGTGATCTTCAGCAGAGCTTTTAAGGGCATCCTAGGCTACAAAACAGGGCCAGTCCTAGGCTTGCAAGGAACAAAGGAGATAATCTATAAAAGTTTGCTGTTATTTTAAGGTTTAGCACTATAAAAAAAATGCTTATACTCCTGAGTTACCAAATATTCTTAATATCTTTGACCATTACTTAAAATAGACTTAAAACTAGCTGTCAGTTTGTCCCACTGCAATGGCATGTGTGTTGCTTTTATGCTGGAAGCTATACCACCAGCATTTTAAATGCCAGCAATGTCACCCATGATGGACAGGTTTCAGCCGAAGGATCAGTAGTTATAAAATATGGCCTTGGTGATACTGGCTATCACAACAGAGTATTCCGGACTAATACTTGGAAGAAGCGAGTCTGACTACTGGTAAATGCATAGCCACTGGAAACCTTAAGAATAGCTGTGGAGCTTTTCGCAACGGGTTTGCCGCCAGAATACAGGTGTTGGTGAAAACCATCGCAAAACCTAAACCAAAATGGGAAAGGAAAAGACCCATATCAACATTGTCGTTATTGGACACGTCGACTCCAGCAAGTCAACCACTACTGGTCACCTGATCTACAAATGTGGTGGAATCGACAAAAGAACCATCGAAAAATTTGAGAAGGAAGCTGCTGAGATGGGGAAGAACTCCTTCAAGTATGCCTGGGTCTTGGATAAACTGAAAGCTGAACGTGAGCGAGGCATCACCATTGATATCTCCCTGTGGAAATTTGAAACCAGCAAGTACTATGTGACCATCATTGATGCCCCAGGACACAGAGACTTTATCAAAAACATGATTACAGGAACCTCACAGGCTGACTGTGCTGTCCTGATTGTTGCTGCTGGTGTTGGAGAATTTGAAGCTGGTATCTCTAAGAATGGGCAGACCCGTGAGCATGCCCTTCTGGCTTACACATTGGGTGTGAAACAGCTAATTGTTGGTGTTAATAAAATGGATTCCACTGAGCCACCCTACAGCCAGAAGAGATATGAGGAAATCGTTAAGGAAGTCAGCACCTACCTTAAGAAAATTGGCTACAACCCTGACACAGTAGCATTTGTGCCAATTTCTGGTTGGAATGGTGACAATATGCTGGAGCCAAGTGCTAACATGCCTTGGTTCAAAGGATGGAAAGTCACCCGTAAGGATGGCAATGCCAGTGGAACCACATTGCTTGAAGCTCTGGATTGCATCCTGCCACCAACTCGTCCAACTGACAAGTCCCTGCGTCTGCCTCTCCAGGATGTCTACAAAATTGGTGGTATTGGCACTGTCCCTGTGGGCAGAGTGGAGACTGGTGTTCTCAAACCAGGCATGGTGGTCACCTTTGCTCCTGTCAATGTTACCACTGAAGTAAAATCTGTTGAAATGCACCATGAGGCTTTGAGTGAAGCTCTGCCTGGGGACAATGTAGGCTTCAATGTAAAGAACGTCTCTGTCAAAGATGTTCGCCGTGGCAATGTGGCTGGTGACAGCAAAAATGATCCACCAATGGAAGCAGCTGGCTTCACTGCACAGGTGATCATCCTGAACCATCCAGGCCAAATCAGTGCTGGATATGCACCTGTGCTGGATTGTCACACAGCTCACATTGCTTGCAAGTTTGCTGAGTTCAAGGAGAAGATTGAGAGCCGGTCTGGTAAGAAGCTAGAAGATGGCCCTAAATTCTTGAAGTCTGGTGATGCTGCCATTGTTGACATGGTTCCCGGCAAGCCTATGTGTGTTGAAAGCTTCTCGGACTATCCTCCTTTGGGTCGTTTTGCTGTTTGCGACATGAGACAGACTGCTGCTGTGGGTATCATCAAGGCAGTGGACAAAAAGGCTGCTGGAGCTGGCAAAGTCACCAAGTCTGCTCAGAAAGCTCAGAAGGCTAAATGAATATTACCTTTAATACCTGCCACTCCAGTCTTAATCAGTGGTGGAAGAACGGTCTCAGAACTGTTTGTCTCAATTGGCCATTTAAGTTTAATAGTAAAAGACTGGTTAATGATAACAATGCATCGTAAAACCTTCAGAAGGAAAGGAATGTTATGTGGACCATTTGTGGTTTTTTTGTGTGGCAGTTTTAAGTTATTAGTTTTTAAAATCAGTACTTTTTAAATGGAAACAACTTGACCAAAAATTTGTCACAGAATTTTGAGACCCATTAAAACATAGTTTAATGAAAAAAAAAAAAAAGAATAGCCGTGGAACATTGTCAGATATGGTGCTGGAAGATGAGCCCCTCAGGTTGAAAGGCACTCAAAATAAAACTGGGGAAGAGCTGCCTCCACAAAGTAGAGTTGACCTTAATGATATGAATGGAGGAAAGTTTTCTAGACCTTCATTTGTTGATGGGGCACAACTCAAAGTGAGAAGAAATATCTGCACACATCCATTAATAATCAGAACATAGGATATACTAAGTATGAATCTAGGAAAATTAGATGTTGTCAGAAATTAATGGAATGCATAATGGTAGATATCCTAGGCATTAGTGAGCTGAAATGAACTTGTATTGGCCATTTTGAATCAAACAGTCATATATTTTATTATGCCAGGGATGACAAACTAAGGAGGAAAGGCATCACATTCATCGTCAAAAAGAGCATTTCAAGGTCTGTTCTATCTTGAAATGCAGTGTTGTCTGTGATAAGATAATACTCATATGCCCACAAGGAAGACCAATTAATACCACTATTATTCAAAATACACAGGAACTACTAAAGCCAGTGATGAGAAAATTAAAGAATTCAACCAACTTCTTCAGTATGAAATTGATCAAATGTGCAATCAAGTCACATTGATAATTACTGATCATTGGAATGAGAAGGTCGGAAGCAAAGCGGAAGGATCAGTAGTTATAAAATATGGCCTTGGTGATACTGGCTATCACAACAGAATTTTGCAAGAGCAACGACTTATTCATTGCAAATACCTGTTTTCAATAGCTTAAAAGGTAGCTATATACACACATGGACCTCAACACACATGGAATACAAAGGAATCAAATTGACTATATCTGTGGGAGGGGCAAAAAGGTAGAGAAGCTCACTATCAGCAGCCACAATTAGGCCAGGGGCAGACTGTGGAACAGATCATCTGTAGCTCAAATGCACGTTCAGGCTGAAGCTGAAGAAAGTTTAAACAAGTCCATGAGAGCCAAAATAGAACCTTAAACATATCCTACCTGAATTTAGTGATCATCTCAAGAACAGATTTGATGCATTTGACACTACTGACTGAAAACCAGAAGAGATGTGGGTGGGATGGTATCAAGAACCTCATACATGAAGAAAGCAAAAAACCATTAAAAAGATAAGGGGGCAAAAAAAAAAAAAAAAGGTATGGAAGAAAGAAAAGACCAAGTGGATGTCAGAAGAGACTCTAAAACTTGCTCTTAAATGTACAGAAGCTAACACGACTAGAAGAAATGAAGAAGTTAAAGAAGTAAACCGAAAATTACAAAGGGCAACTTGAGAAGACAAGGCCAAGTATTATAATAATGAAATGTATTATAATAATGAAATGTGCAAAAATCTAGCATTCGAAAGTCAAAAGTGAAGAAAATGCTCAACATTTCTCAAGCTGAAAGACTAAAGAGAAAATTCAGACCTTGTTGCAATATTGAAGAGTTTCTGTGAGCAAAATATTAAATAATGCAGAAAGCATCAAAAGACAATGGAAGTCATTGTGAGCAAAAATAACCGGTCAATGCTCATCCATTTCCAGAGGTAGCATCTAATCAAGAACCAATGATACTGAAAGAAGTCCAAGCTGCACTGAAGGCATTGGCAAAAACAAGGCTCTAGGACTAGATGGAATAATACAAATTAAATCTTTCAACAAACTGATGCAGCACTGGAGGCACTCACTGATCTGAGCCAAGAAATTTGGAAGATAGCTACCTGGCCAACTAATTGTAAGAGATCCATATTTGTGCTCATTCCAAAGAAAGATGACTCAGCAGAATATGGAAATCATCAAATAATGTCATTAATATCACAAGCAAGTACTGAAGATAATTCAAAAACGGTTGTAGCAGTACATCAAAAGGAAGTTGCCAAAAATCCAAGCTGGATTCAGAAGAGGACGTGGAACAAGGGATATCACTGCTGACATCTGATGGATCTTGGCTGAGAGCAGAAAATACCAGAAAGATGTTTGCTTGTGCTATGTTGACTACACAAAGATGTTTGACTGAGTGAATCATAACAAATCATAACAAGTTGTAAAGAATGGGTGTTCTATAATACTTCATTGTGCTCATGAGGAACATGTAGTCATTAGAACAGAACAAAGGAATACTTAATGGCTTCAAATCAGGAAAGGTGTTCAGTAGGGTTGTATCCTTTCACCATCTTTATTCATACAAATACAATTATTTGTATGCTGGGCAAATAATCCAAGAAGCTGGATTATATAAAAAAAAAAACAAAAACAAAACATGGCATCGGGATTAGAGTAAGATTCACTAGCAACCTGTGATATGCAGATGACACAACCTTGCTTGCTGGAAATGAAGAGGACTTAAAATATTTATTGATAAAGATCAAAGACCACAGCCTTCAGTATGGATTGCCCCTCAATGTAAAGATAAACAGAGAAAAGATTTTAAGTTGCCAAAGACTTCATTTTGCTTAGATCCACCATCAACACTCTTGGAAATAACAGTCAAGAAATCAAGTGATGTATTGCATTAGGCAAATCTGCTGCACAAGACTTGTGTTCAAGAGCAAAGATGTCAGTTTGAAAGCTAAGGTACTCGTGCCATGGTATTTTCAGTTGCCTCATATACATGTGAAAATTGGACTATTAATAAGAAACACCACAGAAAAAAGAATGCATTTGAATTATGGTGTTGAAGAATATTGAAAGTACCATCAAGTGCCTGGGAAGAAGTACAGCCAGAATGCTCCTTACAATCGAGGATGGTGAGACTTGGTCTCTTGTTTTATAGACATGTTGTCAAGAGAGATCAGTCTCTGGTGAAGGACGTCATGGTTGGAAAAGTGGAGGGTCGGTGCAAAAGAGGAAGACTCCCAACAAGATGGCTTGACATGGTGGCAGCAACAATGGGCTCAAGCATAATAATTTTGAGGATGGCGCAGGCCTGAGCAGTGATTCATTCTGTTGTTCTTAGGGTCATTATGAGTCAGAATCAACTTGACAGCACCTTACAACAGCAGCAACAACAATTATATTCATAGTTGAACAGAACAAATCTTTTAGTTGTGAATTGGATAATATCATTTTTATTGTTTCCAGGATCTCAGTGCTCTCTTCCTGCCCGCCCTCACACATGTCCTCCTGCCCTGTGCCCTGACAGCACAGTCCTCCGTTCTCAGGTGCTGTTCATACTCAGGAAGATATCCAGATGTAATAGCCCTTACTAGTGTTAGAGTGACTGTAAACATTGTAACAATGCTGGTATGCTCTTAACTGACATTTTACTATACATGACAAAGGCAGGCTTTCTAAATAATGGACATGAGAAACTAAAGTGATTAGAACTAGAAAACCGATTTTCATTATCTTAAGTAATCTGTTTCTGTTCTCTCCTTTGTTAAATTAGTATTTCTCGGAACAGTCATTGAAGAATCTACTCCTTTCCACCTCTGAAGAACAAACTGAAAGATGTTCTATAGTTGAAAACACGAACACTCTTACTATAGTAGAAGAAACTAATCAAATTGATGATCACAAAAAGTACAATTCCCAAACTAGTAGGGATTCTGGAAACTATTCTAATGAGGATGAAAATAGTGGAGGTGGAACAAGTGAAGAGCTTCTACAGTCAACACAAAATCATGTGATTGAAAATGAACTCTAAAGGAGTAGGGAAGTTTGTGAAAGTGTTTCTGGGAAGCCGAGTTACCTACTCTTCTCAGTAACTAAAAAGTGGACATTTGCTTGTTAGGGAAGAAAAAAAAAATCTTGAAGTCATAAGTCCTAAAAATATGGGTAAGCACTTATCTATTTGAAAATGAAAAAGTGAAAGTTTGGAGGAAATTCTGTACATTCTTTTCCACGTGTAAGATCATTGGAAAGACCTATCATTGAACCTGTATTGGATGAAATGAATTTAAAAGATACCTTCAGTATCATTGTGCTTTGTGTAGTGGGTCTTTATGTTCCTGTCAGGAAATACTAGGAGGCTTGGTGACACAGTGGTTCAGTGAACCCAAAAGTCAGCACAGCTTGAACTCAATAGATGTGCCTTGGAAGTGAGATATGGCAGTCTGCTTCTGTAAAGAAACCTTAGGGAGCAGTTCTACTCTACCCTACAGTGTCACTGTGAGTTGGAATCAACTCAACAGCAATAGGTTTGGTTTTGATTTTCAGGGAATAGTGTCTCAGCTGCTGCTGACTATTAACATGTGCCATCTGTTTGTTCTCCATTCCCAGTATTGTATTTCATTATCTCCTCAAGGAATATTTAAAACCTTTGGTCTTTTCTTTTGACTCTGAGGTAAGCACTTAAGCAACTTACTCTAGAAAATAGCTCCAGATGCCAGCAAGAATGATATATAAAAATTTTAGGGGCATTCTAGCCATTTATCCTCAAAACCATTGGCTCCATCATCACAGTTACATACGCCTTACCATGATATAGGATTAAAACCAGTAGTCTCTACTATTCATGAAGACTTCCTGTTTAATCACTTAAACAGTAGCCTGATTAGAATGTACAGTCACTAAAGTTATAGGAGTCCTGGTTATGGTGCTGTGGGTTAATGTGTGAGAATGAAACGTCGGTTTGAACTGCGAAGTCAGTGGCTCAAGGTCACCAGTCACTCCTTGGAAACCCTATCGCTGTGAGCTGGAACCAACTCAACAGCTCTTAATAACAACATTAAAGTTATAGGAATCCTGGTATGGTGCTGTGGGGTAATGCACTGTACTGTAAGGTCAATTTGAACTGCAAGATCAGCGGTTCAAATTCACCAGCCGCTCCTCAGAAACCCTATACAGGATCGCTATAAGTCGAAACCAACTCAACAGCACTTAGCAACAACAAAGTTAGAGGAAACAAGCACCTGTCTAATTAGAGAAGTAATTCTTATTCTGAGAGCATGCAGAAGTGAATCATAGTTTTTGCAAGGAGCCTTGGGACAAGAAAATGCTGATAGAACAAGAAGTAGAATAATTCAGTAGGAATAATGTATATAATCAACTTTTCATTGCTAACATCCTCAGAGGTTGGTTTGTTTTTATGGCTAGTTCTTGTTATTTTTAATACTAAGTCAACTCTACATTGTCTGTCAGTATTCAGGTACCCCTTTGTTGAGCCTGAAGAAAGTGCATCTTCTTGAATATCAACATGAAGGGGGAAATGTAACTAGGAATAAGATAAACTATTTACAAAAAAATATGCGATGCTTTCCAAAGGTAACCTATTGTTTATTTTTTAATTACTTAATATTTGAGATTGTCCATGATATCTTTCATGTAAAGGAAGTCTAGGAATTGTGATGGTCTCTAAGGCAAAATTCTAGCAAGTTATTTCACCAGGAGCCAGTAAAAGAAAAAGGAGGTGAAGTTACAAGAGAGCGTGCTGGGAAGTGCACATGACTAACATTTCTAGCATAGACTTTACAGAAGTAACGGGTTCATCTTAGTGGAAGCAAAGATTGAAAGCAGCTTCTCTAGAAAGGGCTGTGACAGGCCACACTTTCCCAGCCCAGAGGCCACATATCCAATGTGCCTTTCTAGACTTGCAGTCCAAGCCTCCTGAGTTCTTCTAGCGAGAACATAATGGAGATCAAGGAGACTAACCATCTTCTCAGACACAGTTCTCTGCTGGGGAATTCCCAAAGTGACCTGGAGGTCTTTGGTTTAAGTAGATCTGAGTTGGCCTTACATATGAGGAGACTTCAAAAAGTTCATGGAAGGATTCCATTATCTTTTTAATGCCATTTCTCCATGGCATTAAAACATCCGCAGGGTTGGTTTGAGCCACAAGGTTGGCAGTTCATCCTTACTCTTCATATGCAAAGACCCTGTCACCGTCAAAATTTGTTTTAAAGGGGAAATTTTGTTATTGTTGTTGTTAAGTGCCATCAAGTCTGATTATAGCGACCCTTTATAGGTTAAAAGGAGCTCTGGTAGCATAGTGGTTACGAATCGGGCTGTGAACCACAGGGTTAGCAGTTCGAAACTACCGGCTGTTCCGCGGGAGAAAGATGAGGCTTTCTGCTCCCGTAAAGATTTACAGCGTTGGAAACCCTGTTCAGGGTCGCTATGGGCCGGAACCGACTCGACGGCACTTAACAACAACAAACTAAAGGTTGGTAGTTCAAATCCACCAGCCACACCATGGAAGTCTGCTTCTGTAAATATTTACAGCGTCAGAAATCATCTGGAGCAGTTCTGCTCTGTCCTGTAGGGTCACTATGAGTTGGAATCAACAGCAATAGGTTTGAGGTTTTTGTGGGGGGTTTTGTTATTATTTTTTCCTATCATTTTAAAAAGCTATGACCTTGAAGGTTGTATCAAAGCTGCCCTTTCCTCCTCCTCTTCTCCTCTTCCCCCACCCCTAATCCTGTGATGACTTGACATGTAATATATTTATTTGTTTTGTTTGCTATATGTCTTCCTGCACCAAGATGTAAGCTCCAGAGAGCAGGAACTTTGTTTTATACAGTACTGGATTTGTAGCAGCTACAGCTGTATAGTGCCTTACACATAGAGAAGGTTTTCAGAAAATAAATATTGACTGAATGAAGTCTAAAATTGGAATCAAGTGGGTTGTTTCTGATAATGTATGCTTTATTAGCTTGTGGAAGAACTTAACCATGTTTTTCGTGTTTCTGTGTAATAAATTAACAACTACTGGTGTGACACTGCAGGGTGATGCACTAGGACCACAAGGTTGTTTTGATCCACAAGTTCAACCTCACCAGTTGTTCCTTGGAAACCCCACGCAGGGTCTCTATGAGTCAGAACCGACTCGACAACACTTAACAACAACAGCAACACTCACTATCTCCTTATCTGATGCTTCACAGTTATGAAAATAGTAAAAACCCTCTCTTTTGCGTGTTAACAATGTATGTCTGATAATAACAAACTCTTAAGTCATGAGGCAATAACCTCATATGGATGCGAAAGCTGGACAGTGAATAAGGAAGATCGTAGAAGAATTGATGCCTTTGAGTTGTGGTGTTGGAGGAGAATACTGAAAGTGCCATGGGCTGCCAAAAGAACCAATAGATCTGTTTTGGAAGAAGTGCAGCCAAAGTGCTCCTTGGAGGCCAAGATGGCTAGGCTTCGTCTCTCCTACTTTGGACACATTGTTCGGAGAGAACAGTCGCTGGAGAAGGATGTCATGCTAGGTAAGGTGGAGGGTCAGAGAAAAAGAGGAAGACCTCTAACGAGATGGATTGGCTAGGTGGCATCATTAATGGCGTCAAGTGTGGCGGCGGTAGTGAGGTTGGCCCAGGATCGGACATTGTTTCGTTGTTCTGTACATGGGGTCGCTATGAGTCGGTTCCGACTCGATGGCACCTGACAACAACAACAAGTCATGAGGCAAGAATGACACCAGCTGTGATGGTTAAGGTTATGTGTCAACTTGGCTGGGCCATGCTTCTCAGTGGTTCGGCAGTTGTGTAGTGATGTAATTTGGCAGGTATGTTAGAGGAAACTTGGCAGTTAATGTAGTGATGTAGTCATCCTCCATTTTGTGATCTGATGTGCTCATCCTTCATTTTCATGTAGTGCCGATTTTTGCATAACAACCTGGTCTTTGGAACCTAACCATGTCCATAAATGAGGAGTGGGTGTATCTTTTTCATTTATGTCTTAAATCCTACTGTTAAAAACAATTTTATAGAATAAACATTGGGCTTAAACATCTTGATTTTTTTAATTGTACTTAAGTAAGTTTTGATGCACCAAAGGTGCTGCAGCTGATGCTTTCTCCAAAAGATATTCAGAGTAGAGTGTGCTGACACTGCCCCAGATGTTCCAGTGTCTGGTGTTGAGTGTCCTGAAGGAGTCACCCTGCCATCACTGTGCCAAGACCCATAGAGAAAGAGCTGCTGGTGTGCTGTTCCGCCACCCTTCCACCCCCCCGCCTCATTCCTTCAACCTAAGATTTAGCCAGAGGTAAAGATTACAAATTGGGCTGCTAATCTTACGGTCAGCAGTTCAAAACTACCATCAGTTCCACAGGAGAAAGATGAGGCTTTCTGCTCCTATAAAGATTTATAGCCTCGGAAACCCTGTGCCAAGTCGCTGTGGGCCGGAACCAGCTCGATGGCACTATACGACAACAACTGTAAATGAAAGTCAATAGTGGCATTGCATGCTTTCCTTTTATATATAGTCTTCTCTCTCAGGATAAGGTATTTCTATGGCAGCTCCTCAATCCCACATGTAAATAGTTTTCTCCAGCTAACTAGACAGACTTCAGTCAGAATCCTTCTAAATTGTGTTTTTAAAAGTTTTCTCAAATTCTTTTTCAAGATAAACAAGGAAGCAAATATTAGTATAAATTAATTTTCGATACCCAGGAAATGCCCTGTTACTTCACAGTAATGACAAATATGCTTGTATTTTCTTACCACCTTTTTTCTTAGATTTAGGTGATTACAGAATTACAGGTATTGAGGGCCACATAAATGATGCAGACATTTGTGGGAGAGTGTTTATATTGATGGAAAAATAAAATATTTTCACCTAAGGGTAGAAATTTTCAAGTGAAAACAAAGCTATAGCAAGGGTCACAAACTGGTCTTGTCTCCAGTTGGCTCAGTTTCTAGCTCAGGATATAATGTGGATAAAGAATTAGTAGTTAATGATGAGGGATAGAGAAAAAAAAAAAGT